CCCCCCAGGGGGCCCCCGGGGGCCCCTGGGGGGCCCCGTGGGGGACCCCCAGGGGCCCTATACCCCTACTGAGAGATTGTGGGGCCACTAGAAGTTTTCTAAAAACAAAATAAACCCTTGGGGCCCCCTGGAAGCTGGTGGGGGCCCCCAAAAGGGCCATTTAGTACCCTCAGGGGGCCCCTAGGGCCCCCGGTCGTGACTCCTAAGGGTTTGGGGGGCCCCCGGGGCCCCTAGAGGGTACTTTTGGGGGCCCCCAGGGGCCTCAAAGGGTACTCTTGGGGGCCCCCAAGGGCCCTAAAGGGTACTCTGGGGGCCCCCAAGGGCCTTAAACGGTACTCTGGGGGCCCCCAAGGGCCTTAATGGGTACTCCTGGGGGCCCCTTGGGGCCTTAAAGGGTATTCTCGGGGGCCCCCAAGGGCCTTAAAGGGTACTTGGGGGGCCCCCGGGGGCCCCCCAATTCACAGGCAGTAGGGATGGAGGCGGGCGGGCGGCAGCAGAACGCCGCAGTGCTCTCTAAACACTTCCTGTGGGGCCCCGCAACAGCAGCAGCAGCAGCAGCAGCAGCAGCAGTGGTGTAGCAGCAGCAGCAGCAGCAGTGGTGTAGCAGCAGCAGCAGCAGCACGACAGGGTGGCACAAGTTTTCGGAGGCCCTATTCAAAACTGACTATTTAAGGCAAACTTACTGGCCCTTGGGTCTGGGGTTTGCGGTTTTTTCTGGGGTTTAGGGTTTAGGGTTTAGGGTTTAGGGCTTGACAGGAGTCAGCGCTTCGGTTTCTAGGGTTTACTGTTTGCAGCGTTTTGTTGTTTAGGGTTTACAGTGGGGTAGTAGCCTGAAGTTTAGGATTTGCGCTTTTCTAGGGTTTAGGGTTTGCACTTTTCCAGGGCTTAGTGTCTAGGGTTTAGGGTGTGCGCTGCCTAGGGTTTAGGGTTTAGGGTTTACGTTCTACTCTTGCTAGGGTTTAGGGCCGAGGGTTTAAGCTTTCTAGGACTTGCGGTTTATGCTTCCTAGGGTTTAGAGTTTAGGGCTGCGGTTCCGACGGTTTAGGGTCTAGGGTTTAGGGTTTACCAGGGGTTTGTCTAGCCACTCCTCAACGAAGATGCAGTACACCCGACGCCGCATTGCTTTGCCTGCTGCGTCTGCCTGCAGCAGCAGCAGCAGCAGCAGCAACAGCAGCAGCAGTGGCAGCAACAGCAGCAGTAGCAGAAAGAGCAAAGCTAAAGAAGCCGCCAAGCAGTGCTGCGTTCAAAGCACCAAGATTGTAAACCCTAAACCCTAAACCCTCGCAGCTTTACCCAAGGGAGCAGCTCTGTAAGAAGCACATGACGGGGGTACAGCACCAGCGGTTCCTCAGCTGCTGCTGCTGCTGCTGAGTCTGCCGCTGCTGCTGCTGTTGCATCTGCTGCTGCTCCTGCTTCCGTTTTAACTGCTGTTGCTGAGTTTGCTGCAGCAGCGGCTTCCCCTTTCTGCTGCTGCTGCTGCTGCAGCAGCAGCTGCAGCGGGCTGTTTGGGGCCTCTGTCAAGGCGTGGGTGTCTTTAGCAGCAGCAGCAGGACCCTCTCCTGTCTGTGCTGCGTCTGCTGCAGCAGCAGACAGCAGCACCCTTAAATGCGGAGCAGCAAGGGGGCCAAATGCAGCAGCAAGAAAGGTCATCTGAGGAGGCACACGCACTGCTGCTGCTGCTGCTGCTGCTGTTAGGGGGAAGGCTATGAGCGGCAATCGCCACACAAAGAGCAGCAGCAGCAGCAAACCAAGCAGCAGCAGCAGCGCGAAACGCAGCAGCACGAAAGCAGCAGCAGCAGCAGCAGCAGCAGCAGCATCGACAACAGCAGCAGCAGCAACAGCA